TTTAGGGTTTGGGTTTAGGTTTAGAGCCTTCCCGCAGCCTGTGGTGACATAACATTCTGCTACTTTTTACTGTCGTACTGCTCTACTAGTACACTGCTACTCGACTATGCCATTAGACTATATTATGGTGTTAAACTATTATGCTGCTGTCTTATTATGCTACTTGCACGATTATACTGTTATGCTATTCTACTACTCTACCATGCTGCATCTTCTACCACCGGACAAGACGGAAGGAGCAAAGGCCCGGACAGGCGTCCGCAAAGGTCTTGAACGGCAACCGTGCCCCTCTCCGGGCCATCCTCAAAAAGTCACCGGGTCCAGGGAAAGTGGAGCCGTGTAGGGCCTCTAGGCCTTAGGGTTTAGGGTTTAGNNTTGGGGCTTAGGGCTTAGGGTTTAGTGTAGGTTGTCTCTGTCCTGCGGTCCATTCATCGCCTCATTGATCGCGGTGAGACGCGTCCTCGCGAGCTCGAGCCTGAAACAGTCGAAGCGGCCCCGCTCCTAACACAGACCCCACAGCAAAGAGCACTGTGTCGTTTAGAGGCAGACAAGCGCAGGCGGGCATCTGGATATTTGGCCAGTATCGGAACCATCACCTGGCATGCTGCGGACGTCCCCGTGGCAAAGTGTGATGAGGTTCTGCAAGCCTAAACCCTAAACCCTAAACCGCCTGCCGGGACAGCTTCATACACTGGCAGGCAGTGGCAGTCTTGACGGTCGCTGTTCGCCGTTCCAGCCTGCCATGCCAGCTATTCTGGGTTTAGGTTGTAAGGTTCAGGTTTTAGGGTTTAGGGTTTCTTGGTAAGGAATCTAAATTTACCAGAATAAGGAACCCGGATCATTTACCATAGATTCTAGAAGTAGCTCAGTAGCACGCTTCCAGAGCTAGAAGAGTGCATCCAGTGAGAAGGTCTCACTGGAGAAACTCTCCGGCCAAGCTTAGATCGCGATTGCCGGCAACTTATTCATTTAAGGGGGGTTTCCGAAAATAGGGGACCCTAATATAGTACCCTAAATAGTAGGATCCTTATTATAAGGACCCCAAAATAAGGTACCCTAAATTTCCGAAAGTCCCATTTATACTCTTTAACAAGATCCCAACATTCTTGCTTGCGAGTCTAGATCATCGTCTCCTCATGTACTGCGCTATCCTGCTCACAAATCTCGCGAGGAAACAACTTTCCCTCGTGTCTTCGACAGAAACATTCTCTGATATAGGCTCCAGCAAATCCTTCTCGGAAGCCGTAAAATCTTAAACGTTTGTGGTGTAGGGTTTCGGCCAAGAGTTGGACTCTCGTGGCTGAGATTCGAACACGACCAAACTTCGCTAGACTTCATCGGCCGAGTTTAAGGGGTTCAGGGGTTCAAAGGTGTAGGGTTTAGGGTTTGCAGGTTCTGCACGAGAACTTGATGAGAGCGACAGCGTCAGGTCACTTAGCCGAACTTGCAATTTCACACTAAAAGCTCTCAAATTCGCCTGGTTTCCGATCTGTGGGTGTTTCCTCCGGATGCATATGACCCCCTCTTCTCCAGACGATGCTTCATGAATGTCCGCGCATTCACCCACGAGGTGTCAGGGACAGCTTGCATCTGCATCGCATCGGTGCTAGACCATGAGATGTTCAGTATGAGTGGACGGTGTAAGACGAGAGGATTGTGAATTTGCGGTGCCAGCTGTCCGGGAGTCCGAGGCGGCGACTGCCTCAGGTGCAGACATGCAGCAATACATGCTGGAATGGCAGATCGAGAATGCCGATCTCGCCGATCACATCGTTCTCTATCCTGGCAACTCCATGCCAATGACATCTAGACCGGAAAGTCGATGTGTAATCATTCGTACCAAGACCTCACCACGCAGAATGTTATACTATAATATATTATACTACATAACACTGCACTATATTGTACTATACATTCTCCAGGGGCTGCGAGGCTTGCAAGAGCTTGGGACCGCTGGAACTGACAAGTGCACCGAAGGTTGAGAAAAGCACAAACAGGGCAGCCTCTGTCAGTACAGTATAGTATCTTACAGTATAGTATACTATAGTCTATTGTAGTATATTATAGTATATTATAACATATTAGTATATTATAATATAGTACAGTACAGTGAGGTAGAGTAGAGCAGAGCTCGTATCGCTCTGCTCGGCATCCCTGCAAAACTGCAAGCCCGTGGAGGGGATGTAAGAAACGACACGCAATGCTTTACTATACCATACTCTTCTGTACTGTACTGTACTGTACTGTACTATACTGTACTATACTATAATATACCATAGTATACTTTTACATACTATAATATGCTATCATATCTTATAATAGACTATACCAAAATAGTTTATGCTACACCATAATGTACTATAACATGGCATCACGCCGACAACCCATCCTACGAACTCGGATACCCGCCTTCCCAAGAACTGGCCACACGAGGAAACCTCGCAGGCGCCACCTGAAAGGCGGAGCGGGAGCATGCGGGTCGTTATCTAACTTAGGGTCCCCTTTTTGGGTCCGCAAAACAGTAATACCCTTACAAACAAGGACCCCCCCCCAAAAAAAAAAATAAAAAATAAAAGACCTACTTTAGAGAACTACCAACATAGAATCCTTATAGAAACCCTTGTAGAAAACCTTATAGATTTCTTTCCGGAACCCGAAAAGTGGCCCCTAATTTAGAGAACTACCCATGTTGCACTGACGCGCATGGGCCTTTACGTCACGCAAGCTAAGCCTCTCACGAAGAAGAATGAACATCTCGTCGCAGTTTATGTCGCCTTCCTGCCCGAGGCGGCAGGCTGCGGTGGCAAAAGAGGCCCGCCCCCTTTCAGGCCTCTAAGAGAACTTTACCAGGTTGATACCAGTAAGTTGACCTCAGTCAGGTCGGGCTCATCGGGGCCATAGGCAACGGCTGTTTTGTGGGGCTCCGGCGTGTTCATCGCGAGCTCAGCAACCTCGGTTGGTCAGCTGATATCTTGGTTTAGGGGTTCTTCATTGAGGGTTCTACAGTGGGTTTTAGGATTCCTGAAGGGCCCCGGCGAATTCGTGCATGGACTCGCTGTTGTCTGAGAAGAAGGGCAGCTGCTTCAGTGCATCGCATTGGGTCGCCTGCAGCGAAAGCCGGCAGACTGAACTAATCTCCGGAAGGACTCCGCCTTCGCCAAAACTTCGCTAAACCCTCAACCCTAAACCCGAAACCCGAAACCCTAAACGGCCGGCCTGCTGCTCGAGGTTGATGTCATCCTTCACGTCGATGAGCTTCCCTGGGGCGACTTCTTCAGGGCCGGAGCCGCCCCCAAGGCGACAAGGCGACCGGGGCCCGGGCCCCGCTGGGTTAAGGAAGTGAGTTCGAGTTACCATACTGGGTATGTATGTATATATACATGTACATATATATATATATATATGCCCAGATATATATATATATACACACACATAAAATACTAAATAATAAGGTTTCCGCAACTTAACTTAAGTTCCTTAACAGCAGCCCAGCCTAGCTCCATCAGCTTGTGCTTCATCTCCCGCTGAAACCTTCGAGGATCTGCACTGACACTGCTCTGGGCTCTGATCTCCGAGTTCGCGGTTTAGGGCTTAGGGTCTAGGGTCTACGAGTAGGGTTTAGGGTTGAGGGTTTAAGGTACGTCAAGCTCGGAATGCAAAGGTGCCACGGTGCCCGAGTTGGATAGCAGCAACGCCCAAAGCCACAAAAAGATGCATGAGCAAGCGTATCACAGCGAATCCACTGGCCACTCAGGGGAGCACTTCCGCTTCTCCCAAGGATACTTCCTCGATTCCAACGATGCTAATCTTTGTCCGGACAAAAGCATACCTTCTGTTCTGCGCGCCAAGAGGCTCCAAGATTGAGTGAAAGCTAAAGCGCGAGATGATGGCGACATCGCATCTCCTCGGCGTGCAACACATCTCTCGAGACACTCCTGGCTCACTCCAAGTAGTCGAACAGCCGAGTGGGGTAAGCGCAAGACGCAAGAGATCGGACCGAGGCTGTTCGACGATTGTCGACGTTCAGCAAGGCGGTCTGGGCTCAGGGCTTTGGGTTTAGGGTTTCTGATCAGCCAGTCGAAGCTTCAGCACCTACACGCCTACGACCTGCAGGCTTCGGCAGATGACAGCCTGCATGGAACCTATTGTGCGGACGCGCTTTTTTGTCAGCAGTGCACACGCACATCTTCTTCGATCTTCTGCCTGCCCTTGACTCGATGAAACCTCAGTTCAAAGTCGGTAAGTTCCATTGCTTGTGAGAAGTTGTCCAGTCCGCCCAAGGTGCAGGATGGTCTTGGCAAACGAGCTCGAATAGCTCGAGGGCACGAACAGCGGCGCCTCACTGGCGATGATCATGTCCTGAGTACTCCAAGGACTCCTGCATATAGGCATATCTGCGAACTCATGAGCCTTCCGCCAAAAGTGCCAGTGCACCAGGGGGCGCAACGCAAGGCGTAGTTGCACCGAGTTCCCCCTGTGACGGTACAGACGAGGCTCGATGAGGGCTCGTTGCCACGGAGCGAAGGAAGCTTCCTCGATGCACCAGCAGTTGTGAAGCAAGCGCATACCGTGCAAGGAAATGCAGGTCCTTGAACTGCACAATCTCCATTCCCAACTTCTTTTTCAGCTCTTCTAGATCTGCCTCATCCTGTTTGATTGTGCAGTACGCCGTGATTCAGCATGACAGTTCCAGCACCTTGCAGTTCGTCGAGAGAAAGGCTCTTCGTACAATAAGGCCGTGCTTGTCCAGTGTGGACAACACCTTGTGCCAAAGTGAGACAAGTGCATCGCCTGATGTGCACAGCGTCACTGGCGCCGAACCTCGTCAGCCAACTTCTCGGCGTCCTTGTGCATGCTTGTTCCTTCCAGGTGTTGAGGTGGTGTTGCAACCGAGGTTCTTGCGTCTTAGCTGCTGTAAGGGCTATCTTAGTGGCGAGAGAGCTGCAGTATATAATATAATATAATGCAGAACCAAGGCTCCATGTCTCCAGTGCACAGCCATGAAGCTTCCGTCGTGCATCAGCCGCTCGCGAATGAAACTACGAGCAGCATCGACCAGCCTTGGCAAACAATGAATCGGATTGACTGGGTTTTTTGCATCCAAAAGCCCTAAACGCTAAACCCTAAACCCTAAACCCCTAATGGGTGGCTTGCATCCAAAAGCAGCTCAAAGAGGCAAAACAAGCGACGCATGCAAAGAACGATGTGCACGTGATGTCTTTGGTTGGAATGTGACATCTTCGGGTGTGGTTAGAAGCACCGATGTGGATCTGTGTTCAGGACGACAAAACGTTGCAGTATGTTCCGGAACACGCTACTCACTTTGACACAAGCTAGGTGCGAGCTCTAGGCTGCAGGGTTGAGAGGCCTGAAAGCCTAAACCCTAAACCCTAAACCCTAAAGTGGCAGAGGGGGCGTACCAGAACGGGGAAGCGTACAGGACACATACAGAGTGGCAAACTCTCTTGGCCAACAGGGCTTTACCCCTATCTATCTATCTATCGATCTATCTATCTCATCTATCCATCCATCTATCTGTCCATCTATCGATCTATCTATCTATCTATCTATCTATATACACACATACATGTGTACTTATATAAATATAGAGACAAATATATCTTACACCCGATACTCTCTATGTATATGTATACATATACTAGTGCAAGATGGTATAATCTAGTACAGTATAATTTGTCAAGACATAGTCTAACCAAACACAACACAACACAATACAACATACAAAGCATGATTTGATATAGACGACACAACCAATTTGATATAATATGATACAACTTAATACAATACAAAACAACATAATGCAATATCATACCATGACAGTGTAAAACAGCATATTACAATACAGTGCAATCTAGTACAATATAGTGCCATATGATGCTGTGCAATACAGTATGATACAATAGGAGTTTTTACAACATAATACAATATGGTACAATATAATACAAAACGATAGAAAATAGCGTATGTAGCAGTATACATTCCATATATATAATACAAGATAAATTATATAACAACATGTTTTGCATAATACAGTACCATAATATACAATACTACGTACTACATTATAAACAAGTTTTTTGAGGTGATACAATATAATATGGTAAAATACGTTGTAATATATCCAAAAATGATAGAACATGAAATAACACAACAACATGCAACAAAAAACACAATTCAAGCATGGTACAATATGATATGAATATAATATATGACCATATGGTTAACAAATAGAATACACGACATAACATAACATATTCTAATATAACATCATATCGTCATATCATACCAGAAAGTATAATCAAATAAAGAAACAGATTAATGTACTATAGTGTAATATAGTCGAACCTAATGCACTATGATATGGTAGAATATAAGATAATGTTATGCATGGTAGTACCATAGAATACAAAATGTGAAATTGATAAGATATCATGTGCCGCAATGTAGCACAATATAATGCAACACAACAAACTTTAACATAAAGATATATGTTGTATCATAATGTAGTACATAATATACTACATAAAACATGACATTACATGATGCACCATCATGTAAGCTAACAAAATATAAACATTGTGTTATGGTGCCTTATGTATAAAAGCGAATGCAAAAAATATAGTGGCATTACCAGTACCACAACGCAAGAGAGCCGAAGCCGACGGCCGACAGAAGCCAAGCAGCGTGGCGTTGAAAGCCATGTCGTAAGGCCACTGCTTCCCACACTCTCCTGCAAGTGTGAAAAGACAAGTACTTTAGGGTTTAGGGTTTCGGTTTCAGGGTTCAGGGTTTAGGGTTTAGGTTTCAGGGGTTAGGTTTCAAGGTTTAGGCTTTAGGGTTTAGGTTTTAAAGATTTGGAGTTTGTAGGGGCTGCTTGCCGGTTCCATGCTGCGGCCTTTGGCGCACTTGTTGTTGATATATGATGCAGGGCCCCCCCACCCCATGGTATCCCCCCC